CGATAGAGACAATCAAGACGGTCTAATAGACGTCTACCGAAGACGTCTATTAGACAAATTGCCGTCTAGCAGTAGATGTCTATTAAACATCTAATAGACGTCTATTTTCTCTTAGGGTAGAGTTAAAAATTGGATTGAATTCACACGATTTTAGTAAATTAATCAGTTCAGTTGTTTAACAAGATTTCTGTAAGAAATTAGTATTAAAGTCACCACCAACAACAACATCATTAACCAGAGGGTTACAACTCATAAGAACTTCCTGTAGGATATTCAGAAAGTTTTCATCTTTAGATAGCTCAATATTAGAATTAACTGAACTTGCAGGTGGATGGTATATACCTATCACAATCACTTGTTGATTGAATATCCTCACTTTTATGGCTGCAATTTCACAGATACCTTCACAGTTAGCATTTGTGATAGATGCTATTGGAGTACACTTGATGAGTTGGGTGTTTTTTGCTAAAATTAGAACACCCCCTCCTCTACTGTTTTTTCTGGATAAAATCGATGCAATTATGTAATTGTCAATTTCAAAGTTAAGAGATTCAATTTCATTTAGCCAATGTTCAGTAATAATGATTACATCGGGATCTTCCTTTTCAAGTATAAAGAGGAGTTCATTTCTTTTGTTGCGTAGAGATCTTGCATTAATATGAATGATTTTCATGGGGTATGTTTTGTCAGTCTGCATCAGAAATTTGGCATGTCAGAATATTTGATTGGGAAGAAGTTGTTAAGTTCCTTAGCAATCATTCTTGACAGAAACTCTTTGCCATTATCATTTAGATGAAGGCCATGAGGGGTATAATGACCTTTCGTAAGATATTTGTTGACATCCAGAAATCTCACTCTCTGAGGTGTCGGAAGTTTCTTTTTTTCATCTTCAATTAGTTTCAAAAGGTTCTCATTGTACAGATCAATGTGCTCATTCGCTGGGATGTCATATCTATGTGGAGCTGATAGTATTAGCACATTAGTATGGAGAGCTTGAGAGACAAGGTTTCTTCTGTCTTCTTCAAAAGTATTTAATTGAAGACAGTTGCCTTTTTTGGAGAAAGAGAGGTCATTGGTCCCAGACATAGATACAAGGTAGTCTTTGTCTGTTAGATCAGATGAGACTAGGTTTAGGTCATTGTGAACCTGTTCCGTATTTGCTCCTCCATCAGCATATACTTTGATTTCTGAGTTGATGGGAGCTCTTATTTTTAATCTTTCTAGACTCCTTACATGACTATCACCAATAATGGTTATTTTTGTTTCTTCTGGTGCACTAAGTTTTGATGCCTTGAACTTCTTGTTTTTAACATTGAGAATAAAATCATCTTCCTCTTCTTCACTCAATGGGAGAATGATTATTTGAATATTCTCTTCCTTAAAGATGGATTTGAGTAGCTTCATGGTCCTACCCCATGGAACCCCGTCTAGACCCGCACCAATTTTTGGGAGAACTAGTTTGCTTATATTAAGTTCCTTGCACTTACTTGGTAAATTTTTAACAGCATTTTTGAAGTCTGCCCATTTTGGTTTCACATGAGATTCTTCTTTCGTAATGAGGTTTAAGATGAATCTTTCTTGATGTTTTAGCTCAACTATGTTGCCTACCTCATGAGCCGACTCATTGATTTTTCCAGTGTCCAAGTGAAATTCAGTTTTAAGATGAAGAGCCACCCCGTCAGAAAGTTTGGCATCTTTTGCTATACAGTGAGCAATTGATGTGTCATGTGGAATCTTTAGGAGATCTCCCTGCACCATTATGATCTTGTTTTGTGCAAAGCTTGATATTTTTTTCTTGTTTTTTTTTTTTTTGGTAGGAGAAGGATTGTTGACATTCTTAGGGCTTGCATCAATTAGTTTTTCTTCCGGCTTCATATGTTGAGAGGATACTTCAACCTCATGTTTTGGGAGGTTATCTATGGTCCACTGAAGTTTGTCCAATTTCTTTTCCATGTCTTCTACCTTATTGAGAAGCTTGAGCAAAATCGAGAGAGAAAGTCCTGAATCGGCCACTGAGCCAATATCTGACATAGAGTCAGAACTCAGGGAGTCTACTGAACTGTTAAGTTGCGTACCAATCTCCGTCTGCTGCTCGTTGTCACAAGTCACATTGAGGACTTCGGATTCCCCCTTCGTCAGGTTGATTCCAACGATTGGGTCCCTCTTCTTTTTGGTAGTTGTTGAGGAGAGGCCCTGTAGGGAATCAAAGCTGAAACTGGGCTGTTGATTCACCCTATTCACTGAGAAATTCTTCAACATCTCTTCAAGTTGGGGAAGACCTGTGCCGTCCGCCATGATGAAGCCGCAGGCTATAAGCGTGGGGAAACCTCTTCCTGCACTGGAATGGTTTTTCTCCCGTGTGGGTTCGCAGATGAATTTGTAAATGGCCTCGTTGGTTGAACCTCTTGTTGCAATGGGTGCACTAGATAGGCCTGCGGCGCTGTCACCCGAGACGAGTTAAGGAGAGGGCATACGGGAACAGGGCCTTCCGGGCCCAAAATTTGACATACTCGAACCATTTGTCGGGGTCTTTTTACTCTAAAATTAGGGACATGGAACAGGTTTTCATTAAAAGCTCGAATTTTGACAGATTGTTATGTAAACGTCAACGTCTTAGAGATACTAGATAATCTAGGGACCCTTAACCCCAAAAGAGGGTGTGGTGCGACCTGTGGTTTAAGTATTACTCCCTTTACAAATCTGTGACATGAAGCCCTTTTTACGATTTAATGGACCATTTTGTCCTTTTCACGTTGTTTTCGCCAAGAAATGCCCCATAGCGCCGAAACGGTACAATATAGAGCAGAACGCACGAAATTTTTGTCTGTAGGGCTCTACTTTGACGAGTTACCCCTTAGGAAGCCATAAAAAATGTTTGACGCTACACCCACACAGGGTTGGACACATTTAGAGTCCATTTAGCAGTTTAAACTGTGATAATCGAATTTCAAGTCAGGGCAGGCAGTAAAATTCAAAACTGGACATCAAAACATCTAGGAGTAAATCCCCAAAGCTGTGGGCTAGCCCCGGCACCGCGCCGATACCTGGCTGACCCTCTGGGAATGGCCCAGCGAGGGGCGGCGCGCGGCTCTGGGATGACCCAGGCTTGGTGGGGCACGCCTCCCAACAAGTCTCCGTGGTCTAGTGATCAGCGTGACGTGATCGAAAGCCAGAAGTCCGAGGTTCAATTCTCCATCCGGTAAGGTATTCCATAAATGTATCAATGCTCTCTTACTTACATGAAATTACCGAAAGGCGGCAGGAAGGCGATTAGAACGGGGGAAAGCGGCGGGGAAGTGGTTGAACCCCCCCCCCCCTTTTTTTCTTTGAAAGAGCATCGGGTGTATAGGAAAATTCCTATACATGTGTAGGGATAATGCCACACACACACAGTACATATCCTACACAGGTCTATAGGAAAATTCCTATACTTGCATGGTAAGAATACTAGCGCAGGAAATCTACCATAGAAATTTTTACAGTGAACTTTTCGGGTCAGTGGTGGCTTCGTTAATCGCTAATCGCTCAGCCAACAACGGCAAAGAGTCAAGTTTTAAGACTGTTCGACAAAGAATAATATAGCATTCCAAGCTCAAATGCATAAGAATGCGGGGAAGAGGAAACCGGAAATCGCTAAGCTTTAACATGGTGACTTCTGTTTTTCTCGGTTTCCTTGTTCCTGATTCTTCTGCATTTTAGCTTTACCGGAATGCCTTATACAAGCTACAAACTGCGCTAGTTCATTTTTTTATTCCTTTAAAAGCAGGAGCATGCTGTAGTGCACCACACTAAATTTAACGCAAGCCGCGAAAAATCAGCGAAGTTACTGGTTTCGGTCTCGACGTCCTTTCCTCTATATGAAACGCACTCAGGAGGAACCGTCTATTGGAACTGAAAGTGGGCCCTCTTGCCGAATAGGGTATTTCAATGGAGCGCTGCCCGGAACTAAGAAGAACAAAAACGGATACAGAGAGCGGTAGTGGGGGCGGGCGCGCGGAGGAGCGGCGGGTGGAGGGGAGCCTCCCCGCCCGCCCTCCGCTCCTCCGCTTGCCCGCCCCCCACTACCGCTCTCTGTATCCGTTTTTGTTCTTCTTAATTCCGGGCAGCGCTACCTTGAAATACCCTATAGTGTATTTCGACTAACGGAGGAAGAAGAATAGCGGGCAGAACATAAAGTTTCCTGATTGGCCGAGCGCCTACCCCCACTACCGGCGTGACGCAGAGGCGGGAAGCTCTCGACCAATCGGTAACGTTTATGTTCTACCCTATGTTCTTCTTCCTCCGTTAGTCGAAATACACTATAGTTCACGTTCGGTTTCATTCTCCCCTCCACCCGTCGCTCCTCTGCGCGCCCGAACCCACCACCGCTCTCTGTATCTGCTTTTGTTCTTCTTAGTTCCGGGCAGCGCTCCATTGGAATAGTGTATTTCCACTAACGGAGGAAGAAGAATAGCGGGTAGAACATAAACGTTACCGATTGGCCGAGAGCTTCCCGCCTCTACGTCACGCCGATAGTTGGGGTAAGCGCTCGGCCAATCAGGAACCTATATGTTCTACCCACTATTCTTCTTCCTCCGTTAGTCGAAGTACACTATTCCCCGAGTACCCTAATTTGAAATCAGAAGGGGAATAACGCGCGCAACAGTCTCGCGGCGAGCTCCCTGAGCTTGTGCAGAGGCAGGCGGAGGAGAGAGTCCCCCCCCCCTCCCCCCTCACATCCACTGCACACCCGCCGCTCCGCTCGGCGCGCCGCCAGCTCAGCACTCACTCAGCAGCACAGTCACAGTAGGCAGGCGGCAGTCGGCGCGAGCTGTGCAAGCTCGTTGGACGTGTCGCGTGTGCGTGTGCTGCGTCTCATTCGCAGCGACGGAGCAGCAAGTGCTGCCGCGCCCTTCCTGTTGTATCCGACCCATTGTATTCACCGGCGATTCTTTAACCCACACGCACCTTCTCAGCTTCTTCGCTACACTTGGTAAGTTCAGTTTTTGATAGCTCCCCCCCCCCCTCCCTCCTGGGTCTGAGTACAGTGCGTTCAATAAAACACTCCGGTAAAGCTGAAATGCAGAAGAATGCAGGGAACAAGAAAACGGAAGTTACCATGTTAAAGCATAGCGATTTCCGGTTTCTTCTTCCCCGCATTCTTCTGCTTTTCAGCTTTACCGGGAGATGCGGCCCGGGGCACACTCTGGCCGGGAACGAGAGAGACGGAGCTAGTGCGGCGAGCGTTAGCTTGCGTCTAGTTTAGGGGGTCCTGAGACTCACCGCCTTAGAAACCTATGCAAAGTACATGTGGGAAAATACGTCTCCGACAGCTCAGGACCCCCTAGCACCGCAAGCACCCCTCTAACTAGATGCAAGATTAGTGCGAGCGAGGGCCCATCCCTGCGGCGAGCGCGTCGTCTGCTCTCTGAGACCCTGGCCTAGGGTGGCCTACGGCAAAAAAATTATCAGCCCGGCGGTTAGATATTAAAGACCGAGATGACTTATGCTCTGGGAATTCCAAAACCGCTCGCGCAACGTCTTTGCATTTTAACATGGGTTTCTTATGAGCTTTTGGGTGTAAAATCAAAAAGCGACCCTGTAGAGTCAGAAAGTCACCGTAGAGCAATATAATTATGAAATTCGTAATCTACAATAAAAACTGAATCTGGCAATGTAGCGTTTGTTACAGTAGCACCTAGTGCCGAAATTTGCTAGGCTTTGAATAATCCCCCAATTTCCAAAATATAGAGATTTATGAGAGGTAGCAAATCTCGGTACAAGGTGCTACAGTAACGAACGCTACATTGCCAGATGCAGTTTTTATCGTAGATTACGAATTTCATAATTAAATTGCTCTATGGTGACTTTCTGACTCTATAGGGTCGCTTTTCGATTTTACACCCAAAAGCCGATCGGGATGAACGGGGCGGTTTTGGAATTCCGAGAGCATGGGTCATCTCGATCTTTAATATCTAACCGCCGGTCTAATAATTTTTTTGCCGTGGGCCACCCTACCCTGGCCCCTTGCAGTAAAGCATTCCGGTCAAGCTGTAAAGCAGAATGATGTGGAGAAGGAAACGGGAATCGCTATTTCGTAACATGGCGACTTCCGTTTCCTTGTTCCCTGCTGTCTTTTGCATTTTAACTTCACCGGAATGGTTCATTCGCTCTCCGCACTCGCACTGTTAGAAGTGCAGTAAAGGATGAACGGTTTGCCTCCGGCCCGTCCCGTTTATTTGCTAAGCGGCTAAAGGTTGGTCCAAAATGTAGGAAAAAACCTTTTTTTTTGTGGTCTCCTAAGGGGAACTCGTGAAAGTAGAGCCCTTCGAGCGAAAATGTCGTCCGTTTGACACTATCTTGCACCGTTTGGGCGCTAGGGTGCTTTTTTCGACGAAAATACGGTAAAAATGACCACGTTGCACTTAAAGGCGTGTTAAGGAGGCGTCCAATCGTAAAATGTCAGAGGGAGTACACCCCCCCCCCATTAAACTAGGTAGATGAACGCCAGACCACGTCTCGCGTAACAGGCTTCGCGGCTTCGCGATATCTCACGAAACACTGTTGCGCTGCGACGCGCCTGGCATACATCTACCTAGGCCTGCGGCGCTGACACCCGAGTCGGGCCAAAGTCGTGAGTAGGCACTCGGCCCCAAAAGTCACAAAATTTGCTCTTCGGGGTTTTATTTTTACGAGTTACCCTACCAGAGACCAACAAATATCTGAGAAAAAACATAGAA